CCGCGCGGGCGTGCAGGCGGGGCGGGGCGCAACCGGGGAGGGATGCTCCTGGTTCTGGCAGTCGAGGGGGAAGGGCGGGCTCGGCCTCTGGGGTCCCCCAGCCGGAGCAACAAGCCCCCTCTGCAGTGGGGCCCTCGATTTTGGAGACTCCCTTCTTCCAGCCGGAGCTGGGGGGCTGTGTGTCCCCGCAAAGCTCATGGGAATTGGGGGAGATACCGAATGGGATATCATTTGACAGGATTTGAACTGGATATCTTGCTTCCAGATTGCCTCCCCTACAACCTCTCACAGTGCTGGAGTTGCACCATTACGCTTCCAGTCCTTTGGGTCTTGGAGGCACTGAAGGTTCCCAAAGTCTCCGAGGAAGCTGCCTACACCCTTGGGAGAGGGATCCCCCTAAAGTGTCAGCAGCCCTCGCCTGCGGTAAGGATTCGGGCAAGAAGTGGGGCCTGGGGAACAGGACCCAGGGTAAGTACCAGGGGACAGGAGAAAAAGGAGCTGGGAAACTTTGGATTTCCCTCCCTATACTCTCCCCTATGCCCAGCCCAGTGCGTGGCATGAAGTGGGCACACCACAAAGATGTGTTAAAGAACAAAGCATCAAAGTAAAGGGGCATGACTAGGCCACAGAGTACCCCAGGGCCACCCTGAGGGAGACAGTTGGGGTCACTTCTTTCCCTGCTGGAAAATATTCTTTGGCTTAGGATCTGTGGAGATGATCTGGGTTGGAATCCAGACAAACTGTGACTAACACTTAATCTCTGCACTTTTGCACTCCAACTCTCTGAACTCGTTTTCCCATCTGTAAATTGAGTGACTAAGCCTGCTCCACAGGTATATGTGTGTGGGAGTGTGAAAAATAACACATGTTAGTAGGTCCCAAACACGGGACCCCACACAATGATCAGTCTGTCAAAATTTATACCTGGAGCTGGGTACAGTGGCTCCAGCCTACAGTTCAAACTACTCAGGAGGCTGAGGAGGGAGAATTGCTTGAGCCCAGAAGTTGGAGGTTACCATAAGCACTGATCACACCACTCCACTCCAGCCTGGAGAACAGAACAAGATCCTGTCTCTAAAAAAAAAAATATTTAAAGATAGCCAGTGTGGTGGTACACACCTATAGTGCCAGCTCCTTGGAAGAAACTGTGCCACTGCACTCCAGCCTGGGTGACAGAGTGAGACTCTGACTCAAAAAAAGGGGGGAGGGGAGAGTTACATCTATCTGCTAGTAATAATAATCATGTAAGATTGCCAATAGTCTTTTTTTCCAGTGGGGATGGGGGGCTGCTCTTTTTTCTGGAATTATGTATTTCTTAGTGCAAAAAATCCATTTCTTTTAAGAAATGGTGATGATAATTCATGGTAGAGTTCTTTAATGTCTTTATTTGGTAAAATAAAAAGCAAACCACGTTATTTCAATCTCAAATTTTATTAAAAATGATGAATCCACGAAGTTCCACAATTTGGAAACCTCAGACCTATGTGAATGCCTCATCCAGGATTCATTAAATTTGGTTTCACCTTCCATTGGTTTCCTGGAGAGGCATCCAAGCTGTTTCCTGAGAACCCGGTGATTGTGAGCTGAAAAGTCTGTGGAGAGAGCCTCGTTCTACACCTTCTCCCACTTTACAGATGGGGAACAGAGGCCAAAGAAGGGTTGACTTATCCAGAGAGGTAAACGGATCCTGCCAATCAAACTTATCAACTTAATTCATTAATTTCTTCATCCATTCAATAAATGTGTGAGTTCCCTGAAATGTGCCAGTCACAGGCACCAGGCTAGACAATGGGAAGCAAGTGGTAGGCAAAACAGCTGTGGTCCCTGCCCCTGGGCTCAAGTGGCATTCACAGCTTCATGGAGAGATGAAAGGGCCCAGGAGGACGGAGGAGGGACGTGGTCATCCTCAAAGAGCCCCTCAGAATTTTATTTTGTGGGTGTTCCTGGTTTGGTTGCTGTCCTGAACATACCAAGTTATTCCTTATTCTTTACTCCGTACTCTGCCTGAATTATTGCCCCCCCCCCCCCTTTTTTTTAAGCTTACTGAGCCAAGCTAGGCAGTCCTGGGGGGAAAGTTATTAAAGTCCACTTACTACTCTCTTTTGAGGCAAGAAATGAGAGTTCTTGACAAAATGGACCCCAGCCCCTCTGTGGCTGTTCTATTCTAGCTCTGCAGAGCAAAGGCACCCTGTGGAGATCTACTCACCATCCACACTTCTGACAACAGTGCTTTTCCATTGAAGAACCTCTTTTTTTCTCACTCGGTCCCTGAATGGGGATCTCTCTCTCTCTCTCTCTCTCTCTCTCTTGCTCTCTCTGTCACACACACACACACACACACACACACACACACACACACACACACACAAACATCCCATACTTCACTCCAGAGGGGGACGAATGATCAGACCTGGACAATGAGAATATTCCATTGTCCTGAACACAATGACTGGTTCATGGGCGGGCTCATAACTCAGGCCAAATAGTTGGAAATGATATCCAGACCATGTGTTACCATTTACAGGAAAGAGATGTTCTCTTTCTATTGGGTTTGTTGAGTTGGGGGAGTTGCAAACTGAAGCTGGTGGGGACTATCTTGGACACCCCAAGATGAGAGTTTGTCTAAGAATAAGGTCAACACAGAGAGAAGCTACGGAAAGGAGAGGGTGTTCTGATAACACAGTTTGAGCACCTAAATCCATCTGTGCCTGAAAACCGACTTGTGCACTGTTTTGTTAGGGTGAACCAATAAAATCAATTTTTGCTGAAGCCAGTTGGAGTTAGTTTTTTGTATTTCCAAATCAAAATAACTTCAATAACTTACCTACATTTCTCCAAAAGAGAGAGAAGGAGCTAGTATACTGAATTATTTGTATTACAGAAAAATGCCTGACTAAGTGAGCTGACTCCCACCATGTAGAAACCAAAAGACCAGAATGTGAAGCCCATCTTATTAACTGTGTAACCCAGGACAATGATGCTACTCCTCAGAGCCTTATTTTCTTCATTTGTAAAATGGAGAAAAACATACTTCCCTCCCACAGATGTTGTGAAGATTGAAAAAGATAATGGACAGAAAAGAGCTTTGTAAACTGAAAAAGGCTATAAATGTAAGTGGTTATCATTAAAGTTTAACAACAAGTGACTTGTCCAAAGTGTAGAAATAGCGGTAGTACTGGAAATGCACTTGCTGAACCATGAGTAGCTGGAACAGGATGTGTTCTCATTTTAAAGACTAATCTTGGAGGAGCTACAGAAAAAAAATTTGAGAAAGCTCTACAGAAAGAACATCTTGTCGACCCCAGGGAGAGGCCAGACCAGAATGGAAGAGTCTTGGAATCAAGATGGGAACTACAGATCATGAGGCAAGGATGCTGCTGGGATGAGCCTGGATAAGGAGAGAAGCCCCAGGCACTTCCAGTAGATATTCTGACAGGGAAAGATTTGCAACTCACCAGATACCTTGATGCCTACGTGAAGTGCTCAGTTGTTTCCTGAATATACCAAGTTATTCCTTATTCTTTACTCCTTACTCTGCCTGAATTATTGCCCTTTTTTTTTTAAAGGCTACTGAGTCAAGCTAGGCAGTCCAGGGGTCTAAATAGTGTCTACTTGTATAGTACTGTAGCAAAATACTACAGACTGTGTGGCTTAAACAATTGAAATTAATTTTCTCACAGTTCTGGAGACTAAAATAAGCACTGGCAAATTTTGTTGTCCTTGGCTTGTAGATGCCTGCTTTCTTGCTGTGTTCTCACATGGTTTTCCCTTGGTCTGTGTGTTGTCTGTGTCCTAAACTCTTCTTATAAGACATCAGTTATATCACATTAGAACTCACCCATGACTGTAATCCCAGCACTTTGGGGGGCAGAAGTTAGAGGATTGCCTGAGCCCAGGGGTTCAAGACCAGTCTGGGCAACTTAGCAA